CCAACACAATAGAAAAATGCTCCTGGTCATATGTTTGTGTTACATCTTTCTACTTCTTCCCACCATTGAAACTGTGGAATGAGTAAAGAGAAATGACAGACAAGAGATAGTCAAAAGTAACCCCCACATTTTTCATTGCTGTGGTCATCAGAAAAAGGACACAGATAAAGGAAGAGATATGTAGAGCAAGGTCAGGAATTTGAGGTCTGGGCATGTGGACTGGGAGGTGTCTCCAACATTGCATATGAAATTACCAGGTAGGAAATCTAACATTCAGCCAGCAACACCGAGATGTCAGGTGAAAAGTTCAGAGGACACCTTGTCTTGTAAATCTGTCACACCCGTGCTAGGACTCATCTGCTGTCCTCTGGAGCTCACATGATCCTCATATCACTTTCACGAGTTCTCTCACCACATGTACATTCTTCCTAAATGACTGCTTCCTTTTCTCTAACCTTCATCTTCAGACAGACATTCCTAAACTTCATGTTCTAACCTGAATACTTCTGTGGGCACCAGGCTCTGGAGGGACACGTCGAAGAGAAGGGAGAGCATCCCTGGAATGTGGTGAGGAATTTTAAGTCAATGGAAAACAAAGACTAAGGTAACAAATTACAGAGAAGTACATTAGAAAAGATTAGGTAAATGCTTCCAAGTTGTGGTAAGTTTTTAGAGAAAAATAAATAGGAGAAAAACATAACAAGTGTAACCTCATTTGTTACGGTGAGAGAGCTGAGAAAGTCTTGCTGGCAAGGAGCTGAGTCTGATCCAAGAGAACAGATTCCTGAGTGATGTTAGGACAAGAGCAAACGGGCAGAAAGGTGGGAGTGAAAAGTGTTTAAGGTCAGAATGAGGCAGAAATATGGTTCCAAGGTGAGACAGGTTGTGACAGGCTTGAGAAAAGACAATGTTCCTGTGTGACCAGGAGAAGTGGTACCTGAAGTGGGATGAGACAGTGAAGGAAGCCCCGGTTACCCTGAAGCCCACCTGCTGCTTGGCTTAGATGGACTTATCCTTCTTCCTCCACCTTTCTTCTGTCACTCCTCACTGTGGAGGAAAGTCTGCAGCCCTTCTCTTATCTCCCCTGCTGCTACCTTTCACATTTTACCCTTGTTTCAAGTGCCAACACAAAGAGTAAGCCAGGGTAGTTGCTCCATCCTGCCTGTTGCATAATCCTTTGCTCATACATCTATTTCCTTTAATTTACCCATGTGTTAAGTAGGCAGAGAGACAGAGAAACAGGGATTTCCCAACAGCCGCCCCAGGAGCCAGTATAGGCCAGGGCATACTGGGGGCTAGGAATTCAATTCAGGCTTTCCACGGAGCTATAATTGCTCCTCCTCAAGGCCTCTATTGGCAGGAGGAAGAAGTGGGTGGAATCAGGATTCAGACCCAGGCACTCCATCACAAGATGTGGGCATACGAATGGACAGCCTAATCACTAGGCCATATGTCCTTTTCCTCTGCTTTGATGCTTGCTCCAATCTAATACAATATGACATCCTCTAGTTCCTTTTTAAATAATTCATTATTTTTCTTTGTATCCTCAATGTCCAGTCTTGACAAATAACCAATAAGTGTTTCTTGATACATGCACAGATTTGTAGACAAGACATAAATATAAATGGCATGGAATTATTTGTTTAGGCAGATGTAAATTGTATTGATTGCATCAGAAAGAATAATGAGACTCAATTCCATGTCTTAAACACTGCGCATAAAAGCTGACATAATTTGCATCTTTCTGAGTTGAAAGAAATATGTGCTTTTTGTTGGCCACTGTTCTAAAAAAGATAATGACTCTGTTTAAGCCAGTCTGGATATGAAATATTGGAAAAAGTGTCTTCAATTGCCTGCTTTGATTCTGACCTTCTAGTACCCATATCACATTGTCATTCAAATCCATGTTAGTTTATTATTTGGATGTCATTCAGAAAGTCAGGAGAGCTGGCGTGGTGGACAAGAGCAAGCAGTGGCTCTAGCAAGAAAAAGCATGCATCAGCACAGAATAACTGCTTCCTTCCTACTCAGTGAACCACAGAGAACTCTGTCAACAGCTGTAACATTCAGATCAAAAAAGGATAGGCAGAGCGACCGCAGGTTATCACTATTATAAAGAGAGAAGTTCATATGTTGTCATCTTAGGCAGGACTCACAGAAAGTCAGCTGAGATTCTATTGATATGGTCATTTCCAGCAGCCAGCAAGAAAGAGCTTAACCTGTCCTTACCCGCCTACCTGCAGGCCTCTCTTGGAAGGCAGAGAGCATCATGGTCATTGATTAGGTTCTCATCCATTCGTGCCACGTGCTTTTGTCATAGATGATGCCAGGAAATCCTGACTTGACTGTACAAGCAAGTTTCACCAGTAAGCCATACCCAAAAACCCACGGCTTCCTGTATGGCCAAATCTACCAACCTCTCTTTCCCAGGGCCAACTAGCATCCCTCCTGTAGTCTCCTAGCAAGCTGGACTCTACAGAATTTTTCAATAATATTTCCAACCCATAGGTATGATACAAACTTGCTTTCCTGTCTCCTTCAGTAATATTTCTTTCTGCTTATCAAGAGCATTTCTTTTCTCAAAAAAAAAAATCCGGCTTCTGTGAATGTTGACTGATTGTTGCTGTTATAAACACAATGTATCTCACAGCAAAGCAGATGCCTCCTCAGAGAGAAGAACAGACACAAACAAGAAAGCACAGAAGGGGGAAGCATGGTGATTAAGCGGCAGCTCTCCAGCGCTTATCTCCTTAGCATGTAAGGTGCATCCTCCTATCCTCAAAATGGAGATATCTGCTTTGGCTGCTCCCTGATTTTCTTGCGCAGTCCCAAGAAATGATGATTGAAGATATGCAACTGGAGTCTCACCCTAGATAGGAATTTGGTTTCTAACAAGCAATCTAAAAATCTTTTGTAGTTAAAAAGAAAAAAAAAAAGGCCCTGAAAATTTCTTAAAATCTCAAAAAAGAAGAGAAAGAAAGATTTCATGTCAAAAACTTGGTACTGCCAAATCAGGTACAGTGAGCTCAGTGGCAAGAAAAGGAAAATGTACATAACTGTTTTCAGATACTCAACTTATTTTCCACATTAAAAACTACCAAACCTCGGAGAACAACTAGAAGGTAGGCAGAGAATTCAAACGGTTTCTCTTGCCTCCGGTCTTAATGTGTTCACATTAGTGTCAAACCACTGCAGTGTTAATAGGTTAGTCCGTAAAAAGATGAACAAAAATAGTATCACAACCTTTGTTTTCTATTGTGGGCACAAATATCAAGAGACAACACTGTAATGCTTAAAGTGTGCCAACTCAGTGTCATGACACAGAACCCAGAAACTGGCTTTTACTGAAGTTCGTCATCGTGCCTTGTTGAGATCTCCCAACCAGCTACTCCCTCCATTACACAAAGATCTGGGCCGCAACAGTTTAATAACTTTTTATGTTTAGGTTATAATTTTCTTCTAGACTCAGACGCAGATAAGTTGAATCCCCATCAAGTGCTAGTCTAACAGTTGCCTCCACATGGCTTATCTGAACCCTCCCAAATAGATCTATAACCACCTAAACCATAGACCAATGGAGAGTCTGTGCATTGTACCTGGCATGTTGTTCCCCAAAGTGGTGACAGACTCTAGGCAACCACTAGGGGCTGAACTTACTCGTTTGTGGGTTTTGATAAACAGCAGTCCACATATGCAAGGGGAGTCCTATAAGATTTTTTCATCCAGTGGCATCGTAGTGTCCTAGTTCTTGTAAGTATGTACCGTTGTATTCACTCAACGGTGAAATAGCTAGAGGAGGCTCTTCTCAGAACACATATCTCTAGACAAATGATGCATGGTTGTCATTTCTTTCAGCTATTTTACTACGAAACACAATACAAACAAAATCATATAGATAAAATAAAACTTAAAACAAAAAAAAATGCATGCAAATATCTCCTAAATCCCCAAAAGAGGAAATAGGAATAATATAGCTACATCTTTCACAATTCAATAAAACATTATATCTTCAGAAATGTCATGCTGGGTAGCAATATAAACAAAAAATGCATTTTTAAAAAAATAAAAACAATTTTATGCACTATACAACAGGAAAAGATACACAAAGTCAAATAAAGCAATGAGAGGAAAAGGAAATCAGCAAGCCCTATTATTCATAACCACAGAAACTCACTTTTGCTAAGCCAAAAACAACTCCGGGAACTAAAGGTAGTAGGATTGAAACGTGTATCTTCTTTAACTCACTCAATACTGTGTATCAGCTGTTCATGAAGCACAAGAGCAATGGACATGGAAGACATGGAACCTCCATGGCCAGGGAGCTGATGAAAACGGAGCGGAGGCCAGAGAAGGATCTACACTGAAGACGGGGCTTAGAGACGACTCACTCAACAGATACCTCACGCCAAATTTTGCACGCATCATTTCCAATTATTTCCTCTTAAAAAGCTACCAAAATTATGTCAGCTTTACACCCAACAAAAATCTAGATTTACCTTTGGATTAGTTAGCTGGTGAATAAGTAAACATAAATAATCAGGACACATTCAGTTACTGACAAATGATCTGCAGGAATTAGAATAAGCTGATTTGGTAGAGAATGACAAAGCTATTTTAAAATGGGAGCCCAGAGAAGAATTTATGAGCTGAGTGAAAATGCACACACACGTTTTTAGGTGGGTGTAGGCTATGAATACATGCATAATGCCACCTTAGCAAGCCTAATAAGCTAAGTCATTCTGAATTAATACACAAAGAATGTATTTGTACCTAGTTGTGAATTTATTTTATTTGCTGATACCTAAATGCAGAAAATAAAATAATCTCATAGTGAAAGCAAAAGTTAGAATTAATGTACGTATAATCTTTCAGTGTTATAAAAATGAATGAATCACTGGAAAAATACAACAAGATTTCAGTTCTAATGACAACACAAAGATATTAACTCCAGTGGTGTTTACTCACTCTTATCAAGTAGCATTTCTTATATCTGTCCATTGTTAACAAACAGGATGGAGGGCATTTAGAAAAACATTTGAAATGTCTGCATCCCATGTCAAGGTGCCTGAGTTTAATTCCCAGCTTCCTAGGAGTGTAGGCATCAGTCACACTTGAACTTCAGGTGGTCACTGTGAAGAAATTATTTTTTAAACGTATTTGGAAATCTCATTAACATTAAATCATTTCAATGGAAGTGGCTTATCATAAGCAGGCTATGTGAACTAACTGCAGACACTTATTTAAAAACTTACTTATCTAAGTCCTAGAGAACAGAAAGGCAAAAAATAGAAAAATTAGAAAAATAAAACTTTCTTTTCAAAAATAACCTTTGCATCTTAAAAAGAAACTGAGGCTGTTAATAGCAAAAGCGCTGACATTTTCAGATAGAAAGGTGAGTTCTTAGCTCCTAAAAGCACCTATGAACAAATGACAATATAATTACTATACCCTTAAATGTCAAAGAATTAACCTTTTAGTTCCTACAGCAGTAAATGTCTAATTATCAAGAACTACTTATGATGCATTAGACAGTAGCTATGTCAGTTCCAATTCCACCCTCCCAGATGGCCTTCTTAAATGACTCCGTATGTTCCAGTGATTTCATGGGAGCTTTGCCCCATTTAGTTCTTATTCCTACCTGAATCATCTGTAAAAGATATTAGCCAAATCCAGGCATGAAATGTAAATATAAAACCAACAGAACCAAAAATCATCACAGTAGGGGCTGACAAAGATGCTCACCCTCCACCTGCGGTGCAGGCATCTCATATGGGTGCCACTTCATGTGCCAGCTGCGCCACTTCTGATTAAACTCCCTGTCTGTGAACTGTGATGGCAGTGGAAGATGGCTCAAGTCCTGGGGTCCCTGAATCCATGCACCATGTGGAAGACCTGGAGGAAGCTCCCAGCCCCTGGCTCCTTGTTTTGGATCAGTTCAGCTGCAACCATGTGGTCATTTGTGACACATCAGATGGAAGACCTTTCTCTGTGTCTCTTTCTCTGTAAAATCTGCCTTAGAAAAATAAGCAAATGTATTTACATATTTACATATTATAAATGTATAGATTTATAAATTTATATTATAAATATATTTATCTCTACACAATAGGGGTTGGCACGGTGTCTCAACAGGCTAATCCTCCACTCTCCATAACACTGGCATCCCATATGGGCACCAGTTCTAGCCTTGGCTGCCCCACTTCCTGTCCAGTTCACAACTCATGTCCTAAGGAAAGTAACAAAGGATAGCTCAAATCCTTGGACCTCTGTAGCCAGGAGGTAGACCCAGAAGAAGCTCCTGGCTTTAGGTCAGCTTTGCCAGTATGATCATCTGGGTAGTGAGGCAGCAGATGGAAGATCTTTCTCACTGTGCATGTCTGTATATCTGTCTTTCAAATAAAAAATAATAATTTTTTTAAAAAATCAACAAATTGAAACTATCCAAACACTTCAAAATCAAATTGACTTACTCAAAAGATAGAATTACCATATGATCCAACAATCTTGCTTCTAAGTCTCTGCACAAAAGAATTGACAGCAGAATCTCAAGAGAGATGTTTGCACACCCATACATCTACCAGTACTGCTTGCCGCAGCTAAAAGGAGTAAGCAACACAAGTGTTTACCAATCATCAGATAAACGGATCAACAAAATGAATATGCACACAATGGAACATCAGTCAGTCCTACAGAGAAAATAAATTCTGGGAAAAGGTAGTGTACAGATGAAACCTGAGCAGGTGATGCTAAGTGAAATAAGCCAATCACACAAAAGGCTAAACTGATTCCACTTACCCGAGGTGCCGAGTGTAGTGGAATTCATAGAGCTAGGAAGCAGAAGGGTGGTTCTCAGTGGTCAGCTGAGAGAGGAGGCTAGGGATATATTCTCCAGTGTGTAGTGTTTCCGTTTTATAAGCTAAAGAAAGTGATGGATATGGACAGCATAGCAGTACACATGTGTAGCTAACTCCAGTGACGCACACAGTGTAAAAGAAGCTAGGGTATTAATTTTAATGCCATGTCTATTTTACCACACCTAAACTTTAATTTTAATTGTGGAAGGGAAGGGAATAAGAAGGACATGCACACCAAAGTACCTATACTGGCAGTGTAGCAACCGTTAACTCTGGAAATAAAATGAATTTCCGTTACTTAGGGAATTTGTGGACAATCTTTGACACAGTCATGCTCCTTAATATTGTAAGGATGTTAATATAACATTAATTAGTTATTTTGGGATGATTTCCATATGATACAACTGGGTAAGAAAAGAAAAATGAAGAACATGTTCATATATAATCAAATTTTGAAAAACAAATTGTCAACAGATGTAATAATTTAATAATAGTTCGCCTCCTCACTGACATTATCAGGTGCCTTTTTGGCAGGTGGTAAGGGAAAATACACTTAACCTTCACAACACCTTTATTAAAATCACTTTACAAATAAGAAAGATGAATCCATACGGTGTTGAACATTTTCTCCAAGGCAGGGCTGGTCTAATGGCTCATCCTCTGTTTGTGAGCACTGGTGTCCTATATGGGTACCACCTGTGTCCCAGCTGTTCTGCTTCTCATCCATCTCTCTGACTGTGGCCCGAGAAAGCAGTAGAAGATGGACCAAAGTGTTGGGACCTGCATCTGTGTGGGAGACCTGGGAGAGGCTCCTGGATGCTGGCTTCAGAATTACTCAGCTCTGGCTGCTGCTGCCATTTGGGGAATGAACAAGCAGATGAAAGATGTTCCCTCGGTCTCTCCCTGTCTCTATGAATCTGATCAGCCTTTCCAATAAACAAATGGAAAAATCTTTTTAAAAATTGATCATATGCATGAAATCATGATATTTGAATAACAACAGGTTTTCTAAGGAGAAAGCAGGTTTCCATGATTATATTAAAATGGAAGGTACAGAAGAATTACAGCAAATTGTAGCAATTACCATGGTGATGTTGACTGCACACTTCCAGAAGGAACTGGAGAGCACTACTTTAGTATCATGTCTGCTAAATATTGTCAAAATTATTTCACTCCATAGAGGTAAGGAGCCACTTACTTAAGACAGTGTTCTTTCCCTTTGAAGTGCCAGAACTCTCTTTTGGTCACAGACATGGAGTAAATAAACAGATACAAAGATATTTTACTTTTGTTCATTTCTTTGTTGTTGTTCTTGTTTTTCTTTAGTTCACTGAAATTATCTTCTCTGATTTGGCATCCACTATATACAATGTATTGATACCAAAGATCAGCTCAGCTGCTTTTTACTTACGCTTTTGCAAATAAGAAGGCTGGTGACCTAAGAAATCAGGTATTAACCATTCGCATCACAGCACCTATGCTTGATCTGTGGGTTTCATTTCATTTACTATATACTCTGCTTAAAGCTGTTTGATGTTAACATCTATTTTAGGTCTTTCCATTGTCTGGAAAGAATCGACATCAAATCTTAACATACCAGAGTATTGGAAAGAGTCAACATCAAGTCTCAATGTATCAGAGTATTTAAGAAGTGCAACAAACAGATAAATCAAGACCATGACACACTAGTGTCCTTGTCTAAATATTTCCACTTAGGCAAGAACCAATATTTAATATTTGCATTGGGTTTACTTAATATATCTGTGTTTGACAATTTAGTCCAAGAACATGCTAGGACAGATAAGACCTTAGGTACTCCTCAAGGTGTTTATAACTACTAAGTGAATCAGAAAGTCTACAATACTTGAATGTTTAAGGAAACAGAAAAAAAGATGAAAGCAATGGCATCCTCTCCAAAAGATAATGTATACTAACATACTTGCTTTCTTAGAAGTTCAATAAGTACTAACTGTAACATGAACAGGATATACTAAGCATGCTTGTGTTTAGTTTCTTGATAATAATGGTGTATATATCTCTGAAATATTTGTGTACTTTTACTCAATTGCCCTTGTGATCAATGATACATATTTCCTAAGTGACCTAACAAAGTTAGTCATAGTCTGTGGTAATAAAATGCAATTTCTTCGTGAAAATTAGCTAGACTACCCTGGGCTCTAAGATATGATGTTGACCCCATTAACAATGTACTTGAAGCAAGCTACCCCAAAAAATCTCAAAATGAGTAAGAAATATTTTGCTGTATTTAATGAGCGCATTTATACCCATTTGATGACTTTCTATTTGCCCTGTGAGGATACTGGACAAATGAAAATCTACTTGTTCCCAAATGTGTCAATGTCTGTTTAACTCAATAACCCATTCTAAGTCTGTTGTAATGGTGGCCATTCTACGTGACATTCTGCAATATACACATTCGTTCCTTTAGCCCACAGACAATGAAAATATGAGCTGTCTGAATTCTTTAGTGCTATTTCCAGGAGTTATCAATTCTTGATAACTTCATTCCCCTAGATTATATGATAATTATAATAAACTTATGGCTATAATTCAAACCATTAGCATTCATTACACAACTATGGTAATTGATTTATTTTTAACAGTTTGTCAATACACCCTCTCTGTAGACATGTTCAATATCCTTGAATATGTCTTTTTATAAAAATTGAAAGCATCTTTGACATGTAAAATCAATCAAAAATGACAGCTGCAAATTCTGAAAACCCTCAGTACTAATGCCATAGGATTTAGTCACTGATAACAGGTCCTTTTTCAATCAAAATATTTAGCATGTAAATGCATGCTAAATATGCATGCAAAAAATAATGATGCTCACTTATTTAATACCTGTAGATCTCACTGAATCTGTTGTTCTATTCTTGGTCCAAGTATAACATAGCTGAGAAATGCGTACTGCTACAAATGTCAGAAACTCTATTAATGCTGTATTGAAATAGATTTCTATTTCTCGTGGAGTCACAAGTGAAGAAGCATGTCTGTGATCCTGAACCAGCAGCTCAGTGAAGAGGGCCAACTTCTTGGTATCTCATGGCATTTTCATCCTGGACAGAAGAAGGATGAGTCAGTGCCAGATAAGCATCCACACTGGGGAGCAGAAGGAGCAGGTGCATGTCAATGGCATTTGATCTGGGTATCAGTGCCAATTTTGTGTAGAATCCTCTTTCCCAGGAGACTCCCCCCAGATGTACCTGGATGCCTTTTAAGGGAAATGACCACAGGACTCTCCCTACAGGAGTGAAATGTGGCCTGGATGTGTGGCCACTTTGTTTCCACTCTTTTCCCCAGTCCAGTGCAACCTCTAAGGGAACATACACATCACATGCTACCTCACCAGCAAGGGGCTCTTGGAGCAGACATTATCAAAATGTTTCATACTGTGTCTCATTGTTTTTGGTTTTGTTGTTGTTGCTGTTGTTTTGGTTTTTGGTTTTATTTTGGTTTTTTTTTTTTTTTGGTTTTTGGTTTTTGTTTTGTTTTTTTGTTTGCTTTTTGTTTGTTTGTTTTTTGCAGAGCCGAGCATTATTTCTTTGGATTTTTGCTACAAAAGCTGAACTAACCCCTGCATTCCTTCCCCAGGGTATACAATCTGTACTTGATCCTCTCCAATAGGGGGACTGCAGGGGGATGATAATCTTGATTGGTTTTCATAGCCCTTAGTTTACAAATCAAGTGACACTGCAGAACCTGATGGCCCTCATCTCAGCCTTTTATGGGAATCTGACTCTTCCTGGGGCCAGAGAAGGCACAGAGAGAGGGCCTGCTGGGAGACTCACCACCATTAACTGTGCAGATGAGGGTGGGACGGAAGGGAGAGAGAAGCAGAGAAATCTATGACCTGCTGATTTCCTCCCCAAATGCCAAAAACTTGTGAGGGGTGGGCCAGGCTGAATTCAAGCTGTCTGCACTCGGTCTCACAGGAGAATGGGAGGGCCACCCTCAGCAGCTGCTCTCCCAGGCTCGTGAGCAGGAGCTGGACAGGAAGTGCAGCAGCCTAGATTCCAATAAGCACTTGGGTTTGTCATGCTGGTATCACAAGCAGCAGTTTAACCTGATATACCAGCCCCCAAAACACATAATAATGGTTATCTTTTATCTGAAAGGAAAAAATAGTAACATTTGTTAATGTTTAATTTCCAAAATGATGGCACATAAAGTTTATAAATAAGTAGGTACACATTGAGTTATTTGAAGAATTTCAATAATCAGGAATATAATTAAAATAATTAGAAGAGACCCTTAGGTTTCCTCTTCAAAATGCAGACCAGAAGGATGCTAATAACTAGAGCGACCCCTGTGAGTTGCATGGATGGGACAGTCATCCATCATGGAGACAGAAGAGAGAACCAAACCGTGTTTAACCATGCTGCAACAAAAATCTCAGACACTGGGTATAACACCTGGAACTGCTTTCTTAGCCTCAATGTCAGGATAATTTTTGGATTGCTTTAAAAACGATAAAAAGCACTTAGCTTTTTTTTTTTCACCAGAAAGTGGCATAATTCTTCATCCTATTACATTCATTCCTGCCCTAAAATCCCTTACTATGCCATTTAAAAACTATTCTTCCTTTTCCATTCCATGTGTAATGAAAACAATAAAACACTAGGCCTGCCAGGACTGTCATCATTATTTCACAAAACACTTCTGAAAGCATTGTGGTAAACACCACTTTCCTAACACGCTTTCCTGATGCAACTGACAGGGCACTGGCAGAGGTAATGAGCGAAACGCTGATGTCGCTGACTTTCAAATCAAAGAATGATAAACATCAGTTGTTTCCTAGATCCTTGACAGTTTCTTTTTACACGTAGTCTCTGTCAGACTACAAAGCATGTGTTGCATTTTTCTTTATGCTAGGGAAAATGGTGCAAATATGTGTACGAGTCAAACCCTACCTTCCTAGAGATAAAAGTTCTGATACATTATGCTTCTGATTCTGTTTTTCCAGATTCATGCAGTGGAATTTTTTTAACCACTATCATCTTCTAGAAAACCAGTATCCTAGTAGCCCAAATTTATCAAGCACAGTCCTTGATCTCTTTTGTTGTTGTTGTTGTTGTTGTTGTTGTTAAGATCTGTTTAATTTTTACAGATCTTTCTTTTGCTGGTTCACTCCCTAAGTGGCCACATTGGCAGAGGCTGAGCTGATCCGAAGCCAGGAGCCAGAAGTTTCTTCCATGTCTCCCACATGCATACAGGAGCCCAGAAACTTGGGCCATTCTCCACTGCTGGATTCCCAAGCAATAAGGAAGAAGCTAGATCAGAAGTGGAGCAGCAGGGATGCAAATTGGTGCCCATACAGAATGCCTGCACAACAAGGAAGAGGATTAATATCCTATGCCACCATGCTGGCCCTAGTATTTAACTTTTGCAAATGGAAAGATTAAGGCAAAAAAAGGGAAAAGCAAAACGCAAAGATTTGCTGTCCCCTATTTGATTTGCTCTTAGCAGTGCAAGAACAGAATCAGGATACAAGTCTCCCTCTCTGTGCCCTAATCCTTTCCAAGCCTTACAGTCTGCTCCATTTGAGCCTCTGTGTGGAGATGTTTAAACGCTGGGCAAGCTTCCTGTGGCCTGTGCACCTTCAAACTCTCCTGCTATCCTCGGCAAACGAGATTCAGCTGGAGAAGGTTGGACCTTTGGAACTGACTGTCAATATCAGACACACAGCCAAGGAGGTCATAATTTTGGAACACAAAAAATCATACATGCTTCCCCCGACAGCTCTTGGGTTGACTCTGGGATTTAGCTTGATGTTTGGCTGTCTGTATGCGTATACAGAATAATGATTGTATTACCAATAAGCCTCTCTGGGGTTTAGGTTGGACATCTTGGTTGACTGGTTAATTTTTAAATTTCTGGTCTGATGCTATCACTGAATATTATTTTCTAATAAACTTTTTTTAAAAAAATGCTTACGAGAGGCAAAATCACAGAGCTGGGCAGAAATATTCAACTGAGAATATTAATTCTTTAACTAGAAGGAAATCAAATTTACAGCAAAATTTGAAAATTTATATTCAATTACACCTTCCTTAACTTTTTGTTAAAAAGAAATATGTTACATGGTGCAATTCAGTCATATTTAACAAAACTTTTAGTCACCTTCTAAGAGTTGCAAGTTAAAAACAAACACGGTCACGGGTAGTGATGTACTTGCGGATGTCAGTATGTACTCTGTCATCACAACTGCCATTTCAGAGTGAGCTGCTCCAGGACCTGAGAGCCTTTCACACACTGTAGCAAAGGTAGGCTTCTGTTGTGACTCTATGTGCATTCTGCAAGTGACAGAAAGAGAAAAGGAAGAGTTGGACATGCGCCTGGCTTCGAGGAGCTTTCAAGCTAGGAAAAAAATGAAATATGAATACCCTGCAGAGAGAGAGAAGAAGAAGGAGAAGTAGGAGAGAAAGAAAAAAGAGAAGAGGAGGAAAGGGGAGAAGAGAGGAAAGGGGAGAAGAAGAGAGGGGAGGGGAGGAGAGGAAAGGAAGGGAGGGATTTCAATGGTCTAAAATTCACAAGTTGGGATAAATAATTTCACCAATTCATGAAATTCTTAAAACTGCCCATTTGCTTACCCTGTCTCCACCCAGGTACTGTCAGATGCCCATACCCTCTTGTTGCTGCGTAGACTCATGCATCTTCATGATGAGCAGTCTAGGAATTCAACAGGCTCCAGTCATATTATCAGTAATTGATATATTTTGCCCCATTTGTCTCAAAGGAAATTGCATTATCTTGGAAGCTCACCCTGATTAAACCCAAAGCCTGCATGAATGATCCCTTAATGTTCTCATAAACATGCGTCAGTATGGCACTTTGATGTAACTGAATAAAAGGAGGCCTAGAGAAGCTAAGAAATTTGCCAGCGCCATAGGGTCCACATAAAGGAGTCAAGGATTCAGTATTTGAACTCTTGTTCTTTCTTTTACAAGCTCCGGGATATGAAAAAGCAGCCACACTTTCAACAGGTGAAATTGGATAAATTGCATGTCACCAAGTGAAAATGGCTGCTTACAAGTGAGTTCCACATCCTCCCTCTTTCACTTCGCATGAAACTCCTATCATACAATATGGTATCAAGAACTAGATTTGTATTTTACTGTGAAATAGATTTTACTTTTTGGTAAACTTTTCATTTATGATTAATCAAATCTTTACCAACCAGATAGTTGCTACCAGAAGCTGTTTTCCATCAAATAGATTCGGGGCAGGAGATGTATCACATGGCTCCACACCCTACTTTCCTTGCTAAAGCACTTTCACCAACACACTTTGAGGCTCCATACTCTTCTCACCACATTCCTCCACTCCCAGGTTTGATCAGCCACTGTTCTAAAAGCGTAGCCACTCGGACGCTGGCAGCAGGAAAAAGAGAAAAAGAACTATTCATTTTAGCCCAAGCTAGAAAAAAAGTTACCATGTTTTGTATAAAAATGTAAATTATATTACTCAAATGTAATACATTAAATGCCTCTATTCTAAAATAATTTAAAATTATTAATGTATGGTCATGTAATTTCTAACAATGTTTAGTTAATGTTTAACATGTATAGTTTTTCTCACTAAGATGAAGGTACATAAAAATTTTGCCTAATTGTGAATCATCAAATTTTCTCTCTCTCTCTCTTTTTCTCTCTCTCTCTCTCACACACACACACACATTCCCATCAGAGTACATGCATTTGATGTTATATAGCAGCTGGAAACAGGAATGAAGCTTACAGAATTCTGATGTGTTCAATGACATTTTCAACCAATGGAGTATGACCTTGAATTTCACCTAGAAGCTGGCAATCTGGATTTACAAATAAGATAACAGGGTACTTTCATAAGTACAACTATCAGATAATAAAAAATAAAGCAGTGTAGGAAACACTTAGCAAATGTATACATCAATAATCCCTTGTCTATTCATTGCACTGCCATTCTCAAGATGGAAATTTCAAACATGGCAAATAGTCTGTCTTGAATGTCCACATAAATACATACCAGTGGCAATTGAAGTTTCTTATATCCCCCACCTACCTTTGTTTCTAGTGTTTCTTTCTTGAATTTTGACTATCAACTGAGTTTATCCTTTAAAATATTTCAAACACACCTTACCAAAGGCATCTGTCTCCCCAGTATATATCCCAAGGCAAAGCAATGCTGAAGCATACAAATAGACCAAGATGCTGAAGAACAAGGCCAAACTCCCAAGACCAGCAGATAGAAAAGCGAACACACTTCACTAATATTTTTACATTCTAGTTCAATCAATGTTCTGCCCATTGACCCATGCTGCTGCAGTAGGACACCCAGTACATTGTTACTGACGAGCAATTGCCAAATGTTTAACTACCAGTAGAAACAGCTTTGTTTTCAACCTATGATGACACCCATATCAAAGCAAAACCACTTCCAATTGCATGCTTATCCCATCCATTGTTTCCAGATTCTATGCTGCTTTCAGGCAACACAAATCAGCCTTTCTTGGTGGGTTCAGGATTTTTCTATCCCAATCATAGCTTCCTCGGCAAGAATAGCAACCCTGACGAAAGCAAATCGCAGCATTCCATTCTGGAAAAAGGGCTTGACTGTGGGCTAGCACTGTGCCAGCCTCCTCTGTCCGCTGACAGCATGGCGCCACATCATGAGACCTCCAAAACAAAAGCACGTTGGGTCACCTCCTGACGCAGTCAGATATGACTCATTAAATACTGATTTAATTGTACCACTGTTTTTCATGTCCTCTGCCTGACACTGAGCTTCCTCTAGCCCAAATTTTCTCTAATGAGCTGAGCTCTACTTTACTTCCAAACCATCAGTTCACAACAGCATTTATTCACTGAAAAAATGTGCAGTTAAAATGTGCTCAAATAGTAGATGGTTACTTATGGTGGTTCTATACAAACTGATTCTGCTGCCTGTTCTTTTTTCTTGACAGTAGGCAGATTAATGGTGCTCCTATTATAAAATCAGTTTGGCATTTGTAAAATTGTGGAGCCAGGATGTCCTCAGTTACAACCTTCATCTTACAAAGAGAAAACTGGGACCTGGAGAAATTAGCAGACACTCAGTCGCACAGCATAAACTAATACTAGTCAAAGCCCGGAATCTGAGAGGAAATGTATTACCATCTAGAGTATGCTGTTCTTCACTGCTCTGAGTAACCACTTGGTCAGGAGACCTCAATCACTGCCTGCCAAAAAGTACTTCTATGTTCTTAATCATAAAACAGTAAAGAAGTACAGAGTAATTACAAGCTGAGTAAAAATACTCAGTTACACTCATAAATATTACTGTTAACATAGAGAACAGTAACAAGAATTGTTACTGATGAGATTTTAAGAATAAATTGGACATTTTTTCACTGCTAATCATGAATATACAGTATATGAAGCCTAAGAAGTAATTTTCCATTTTCCCATTTCCTAATTATTTAGAAAAGAAAAACAGAATTAGCACTAACTGGCCTGGTGTTCAAGTTGAGTCAGAGTTAGAAGAACGCTGTCTCACAGTGGGTCTCAGTCTTGGCTGCACAATGGAAATACCACGAGAAGCTTTTAAAAGCTGCTTCTGTCCTTCGCTTTAGAAACCTGGGGAGGTTTGCTTGGCACGTTTCTCAGGTTTTTGTCTAGTAAATAGTATTGACGGCAATGATGCCTAACATGCTGTTGTGTGCACTGTTGTTAACACACATATGTAAAGCACTTAGGCAGCACGTGGCTAGGGACTAGCAGTTAACCCATGTTAGATATTGTATGTGCAAGCTCTGTGTCCATTTGTGAGAGAACATAGGGTTTCAGTATAAAATTCCTGTATTGGCAATTATGCATTCTACACAATTATTATTATGAAGCCATTGATACACAATCCAAATAACAGAGAAACTAAAGGTATAATCCTTAAGTGGGGGCAGGAACCCCCATTTAATCCACCACCTGAAGGTGTTGGCATCTCATATGGTGTCAGTTTGTGTTCTGACTGCCCCACCTCCTATCCAGAGTCCTTCTTGTGGCCTAGGAAAGCAACAGAACATGGGTCAAAGCCTTAGGTCCCTGTACCTGCATGGGAGACTCAGAGGAGACTCCTGACTCCTGACTATTACCTTTGGATCAGCTCAGCTCCTGCCAATGTGGCTACTTAAGGAGCGAATCAGCAGACCTTTCCAACTCTCCTTCTATCTGTACATCTACCTTTCCCACTAAAAATCTTAAAATAAGGGAAACAAATTAGATGGGTTCCATAATTAACTGGAATTCTCCTGCTCACATTTTCAGGGTCATTATGCACAAGAACACAGAATAAATTAACCAAGAAACAAGAAACCACATCCATTTGGAAAGGATTGGAAAGGATTTGGAAACACTGAAGTTCAGAGAGATTCTAGAAGGGCAGAACATTAGAATAAACCCCCCAGAAATGGAGCACACATGGAGGGATACCCTTAAATGTGCATAGTTTCCAAGTTCTTGGCTTTTACTTTGATGATGCATGGTCATGGTAAGAATGTAAGAATCTAACAGGAAACAGAACCTGAAAGAAGATGAGCTAAGAAAATATCTCACTAGTTAATTATTGCTTGTAAAATTGATGGTTCAAGTCTGGGTCAGTTAGAGCCATTTTGCATTGAGAATCTAGAACACACATCAAGATTCAGAAGTGTGTGTGTGATGAATAAATTCATAATAGAGGAATACGGGAAAACCAAAAGAAACACCCACTCAAAAAAAACCCTCAAAACCCAAAGTCTCCAAAACATGTAGGAAACATGCTAGTAATTTAACAGCCTGCAAAAGTTTTGTATCACAACTGTTTCTATTCTCCTAAATAATACAACTTGTGAAATCCCACGTAAGAGATGCTCAGATGTTAAACATTAAACACAAAATGATTTGTTTATTATACAATGAAATTAGTCTTTTGTGTAAAATAAACAACTGTGCAGAGCCAAAAAAGAATATCAGAAGTTTCATCAGTATTTAACATTCGTTCAAAAAGTATCACACATGCAAAACTACGGGGAAATATGATAATAGCTAACCAAAAAGTCAATAAAAACTGAGCTACAAATGACTTAAATGCTGAAATTGGCAGACTTTACAGTGATTCATAGATTTCTGATAAGGAATCTCTAAGGAGAAAGGAAAGCACAAAATGCATAACAGATATGAAATTTCAGCCCAGAAAAAGAAACAAATAAAGAAAAAAAAGAATCAGATGGAAATTGTACAACTTAAAACATACGATTATAAACTAAAAATTCATTAAATCAGTTTCTCTGAAGACCATTCCTACAAAAGAAATCATAAACTCAAATATGTACAGAAGAAAGAATAAAAACACATAAAAGGAGGCCAGAAATATTTATGAACTTTCATTTATACATAACTGAAGTCTTGGGTAAAAGATGACAGAAGCAATGCTTGCATAATCAATGGCTGAACCATCTCAAAACCTCAAAAATTTATATACACAAACAGATCCAAAATATTGCAATCCACCAGCAAGACAAATTCACAAACACATCTAAACATCTGATGCCTGGCTGCTGAATCTGAGTGACTACAAAGAGAAATTACGTGGGGCAGGTAATGCAATGCTGTTTAAGGCACCCATGTTGCATATTGAAGTCCCCCATAGAAGGCCAAGCTCTGGCTCCTAACTGCAAGCTTCTGCTCACACTGGACCCTTGGAGGCAGTTGAGATGACTCAATGAGTTGGTTCCCACTACCCATCCGGCTGCTACAGGTACGTGGAGAGTGAACCAGCAAGTTAGAATTACCTCTCTCCCTCTTTCTCTCCAACAAAAATGAATAATTTTAGTAAAGAAAAATATTAAAACCAACCAAAGAAATAAAAGTGACAAATTATGCTCAGAAGAACAGTAACATCAATAATGACTGATTTCTCATTCAGAGAAAAAAACAAGGTAGACGTTAATGGAAGTATAGATTTGAATTGCTAGTGAGTAGTCTGCTGGCTATTATTTTTTCAAAAACAAAGGTTAAATTGCAGACATTTTTAGAGGAAAGTTGAGAAAATTATTGCAAGCAAAGCTTAACTAGAAGAGATTAAAATAAGTTCTTAAGTCTGCAAAAAGTGAAATGACTCAGAAATCTCAATCTGCAGGAAGAAGTGTAAAACACAAGAAATTATACGTTTTTTGCTTGAGAAGCTTGTAAGAGTTGGCTGGTCAGTCCCTTGGTTGGTTGGTTGGTTGGTTGGTTGGTTGGTTGGTTGGTTGGTTGATAGAGTTCCTGGCTCCAAACTTCAGCTTGACCTGAGCCTAGCTGCTTTGGACATTTGGACAGAGAACCCATGAATGGAAGACCTCTTTCTCTCCCCTACTCACCCTGACACTCTGCCTTTCAAATAAATAAACATTTAAAAGAAAATGATTCACTCTTTGTGTT